TAACAATTAAAGATAGAAGATTGAAGATGTACATTATACGGGCATGTTCTTTAGCCTCAACTTTTATAGATCTCAGAGGTACAGATTTATTGTGGCTAAACGTTCTTATGATTATCAGTAATAACTTGAAACACTCATGTCAACGACTTGCAAAGGATGCATTTTAAGCTATTAGTTCAACGATCACGCCTTCTGATGTCTCACATAGACCGTTGTCACTTTTTGACTAAAATTTGCCCAAGTCGATATCAATACACACTGTCTGTTACCACTTGATAATATCAAGCCGAACTAAACTGTCAGATTGGAGACCGAAAACCAATTAAAGTTATTCATGACAAGAAATGTTTCAATGCACACCGAGAGCTTCTATGCACCTACGCAGCTATCGTGTTTGCTTCTTACAGAAAAGATTTTTGTATCCATTTGACACTCTGAGAAATCGTAGGTTACCACTAATAATAACTCTCAACTATTGCTCGACGAATTTTCTACCCGGCGGCCACGATCAGTGAACGAATTTACCACGGTCGGGATCATTTACTTTCATTAGTGCTCATGAATGCCTTCTCGATAACAAAAAGAAATCAACCAAAGTTCTGCAGTTTATTTGACGTATATTTTTTAACGTACTGAAGTTTGAGTGCATTCTCAGTCACATAATATAAGGATAGAAGAAAGGGTGAGTAATTCGCTAAAAACGTTCAAAAACCATTTTTCAGGGAAACATAAACTTACCGGCTTTGGTGTTCCCGGATGGGAACTATAACTGTTTCTCCTTGACTGTTGAATTGAAGCAACTGAGAAAATAGTGACGTGTGTTAGCAAACCAGTCATTTTATTCAGCACACACAGTATGAATGCAAGTAGTTATAGGACAAAAGAAACTCTACCTTCTTGTGAGTAGTGCACGTCGCAGAAAAGTTGTCCGTTGAGTTCCTTGTAATTGAGTGAGCTGATAGGGACAAAATATTCCAATCGAAATATTTTAAGAATGTTGGCAATTTAGTTAGCGTTTTGTAATAATAGCAACACTCGAAGTACGAGAGGTAAACATTTAACAGATTTTATATTTGACTACTTTCTGAAAACATCAAGATGTATTCGATGTAAAGGTTAGGTTTCTATTCGATAACCAAACCGTGACTGTTTCCTCCAATCTTTCTATCTGAAACCATGCAAAACGTTGAACGACTACACTGATGCACAAACCACGAATCTCTATTCCAGTACTAAAATGTTGTGCATAATGTGGAATTCTTTTATTGAAGGTTGTTTGGCTTCTACGTCAAAAGTTTCTTCATTTTACTCGATTGCCAAGAAAAATATCAACAAATATGTAACCTGAAGGTGTTCAAAATGCATTCTAAAAAACAGGCTAATTTTGAAAGATGATGCCCTAATTCGTTCCTTGTCATTTGGATTGCTTATGTTATGAGAGAAGTGGTGGGAATGGAAGGGGTGTAGGAATACTCACTTCAAATTCAGACGACAAACTCGACATTCGGCGCATCTGGTGTGTAGTGCTCGATCGCTCAGTACGATACGTTCTTCCAACCCAATCGGTATCAAGCAACGCGCGCACAGACGATGTTCTGCTTCTCGTTCACGCAAGGACTGAATTGTCAGAATAAGGTACAGGAGGTTGTTGAGCCATGGTATATTGCAGTGTTGCTTTATTTCAATGCAACAAGTTTGATAAGGTGTGAGTTATATACTATACAGATAAGCCTTCAAATACAATTCGCGGTATCTTTGAAACTGCTCGCATTTACCGCTTGATTGCATTTTTCTACCGACAATTTGAAGGCAATGCAGTAATCTACAGCTTGTATGTTGGCAAGATATTAGTGGGGAAAATGCACCAATTGTTTTATCTCTATATGGTTCTAGGGTAGCAAAGATCTATGTGTTTCTCGCGAATCAATGAGCATTTGAAATGGAAAATCATTAATTACTTTAATGTGGAAAATCTCGAACTAAATGCCTTTAGGTAACAATCAATTTGAGCTTACTGTAAAAAGCATGGGTTTATACCGACCGACATATGGTTATTTAAGGTTCCCTAGAATGAGATCATTGATCGTAGTTAGGTAACTGAATCGATCTTTGGATTATTAGTTGCGCCTCAATGAGTTACAATGATATTTTGAAGATCTTATGTATGAGCATTAACCATTGTGATGAAATGCCGGTTTTTGACTATATTGAGGAAACAACATTTGAATTTCAACCAGAAAAGAATTGTAATCTTATTTGTTGAAAATTTGCCTTTCTAAACTGTGAAATTCAAAGCTGTTAAATATCGCGTTGTTTACGTGCGAGCCAAAAAATTGTTCTATTATCATCAATTTTAGTCGCTGCGTTTGATTACATTAAAATACCCCTAGAGAATTTATTTAATTGCCTGATTTCTCCACCAACTCTAGTGCTTAATAGTTCTGTGCGAGACGCTCCACTTCTGTTGTGAAGTGTTGCTGAAGGCGGCCTCACTTCAAAATGGTGGCCTCGGTGAAGTGATGACATTGAAAACACGCTATCCTGCTGAAACGTTTTACGCGCAAGTACGATTCAACGATACATTCATCGGAATGACTGGAATTTATATGCTTAATGTGCCATGAACCTCGCAAACAAACTAGTTTTTGAGTTGTTAATAAAAAGTGATGACTACTTGGTTCAAATAGGCTGCATTTTGCAATCGCATCTCGATTCGTGTATATTACCGTCACGAAGCTTGTATTTAAAAAACAGATTGCGTGCTGAATACAGATCATAAAATCGATGACTTGTAGAACTGCTTCATCATCTTGATGAATGCGAAGTATTTCCTAAAATAATCATCTTTTTATCCCGAAAACGTCGAGATTTGCAATCTATCGTCATGAGCTAACAAGAACCTCTCATCAGAAGGAACAACGTATCAATCCAATACTTCCAAGAGATCAATTAGAGATGCAGGACGGGTGCTTACTGAAGTGCACATGAAGCTGTCTTTCAAAAGCTATTTCAAGAGCCCAAATAAGGTCAAATGTTTGATGTTTGTGATTTAAAATCCCTCAACGGAGACAAGGAATTGTATATCGATTAATCTGATGCTACTGAAACTGGACATCTACGTTGCTATTG